TTCAGTGTGTGAAAAGTGGAAAAAAAATAAGGTCAATAAACACAATGAATGTTGTGCCTTCAGCTTCGTGTGGGAGAATGCAGAAGAGTATGATCCGCAAGCAGACAAGGCAAAAATGCTGGCTCTTAGTGAAAGGCATGAACTGTTTGTCTACGAATTCAGTCTAGAAGATGGAAAATACAACCCGGTTTCCCTGCACATTTGTGAGGAAGATACGCTGAAAAAGCTCCTTGAAGCTAAAAACATTAGTGAGTACATTTCCGTGTGCGTTCTATGTTTGAAATTATATTGTAAGACTGACTCTGCTTCAGCTGCTGAAACAAACTGGGGCAGGAGGCCTGAACGCTGGAGAAGTGTCACATACTCCCACACTGACTTACAGTGTCAGTGGCAGTACTGACTTGTAAAATAATAGAGACATTTGTGTATTTGAAGGTGATGTTGTTAGAGGGCATTAAACCGTTGGAGGGAAAGGTGTTTGGATGACACAAAGTTTGAAATAAACTTTAATAAAACATCTGTTCAACCTTGCTGTTTCAAATTTTCCTGTTAATGTTGGAACTGGTGGGAAGAAAACTGAGATGGGCTCCTCACTAGTGCTGCAAGGACTGATTGTGTGTTGAACCTTGTGTTCCGTGCTTGGCACACGGAGCGTGTGGCCAGAACGCAGAGTCTCTGCAGGGCGTACACCTCTGGTGTTTCACATGTTCTTACACAGCCTCCATTGCTAAAGTATTTTTGTTTCCAAAGGTTCTAGTTTGTGTTCAGTGTTGACTGAAATACGCTTTTGTGATCATTCTTCGTGTTCTTTATGGTGTTGTCCACTTAAAAAACCTTCACTGTTTTAGGAAACTGCTCTAAGGTCAGTACTCCTGCCACAGAAAGTGCAACTTAAACCAAAACAAGCCCCTCTCCCCACCATCCCAGCTTTTGTTAAGGTGGTAGCAGAGGCAATGAGTTTGAGCTGTAATTTTCTTGGGGTATCTACAAACCAAGAGTACCAGATTGCCGTCATCCTAAAATATCTTTAAATTTACAGGTCTGTCTTCGGTTTTGTCTTTGAGGATACTGTCTTTTGAAAACAACAAAGGCATACTTCTGCTCAACAAGTTTATTGTCGTGCATCTTACCTTTCCTGGAGAAGGCTCACCCTTGGAGACATGCGACTGCTTTGCCCTCGATTTGCCCTCACAAGCTTTGGAGAGAATTGCAGATGCCCACTTCTGCCGGGGGGTCCTGTTTCTGTTGGATAGTTCCGGCTGGATTTGTATCCTTTGCAACAGAGACTGGCTCTCGCTGGAAATGATCTGGAAGAACCAAGTCGTTTTCTGTCAGGGCTAAGCAGAAATCTCTTGAAAGAAATTCAAGTATCTGAAGCTGCTTTCAGTACAAGGGTTGTGTAGCAAAGTGCTAGTTGCTGTAGTGAAAATTGCCGTTGTCCCGTACCAAATGTAGTTTCTTAACATGTCACTGGAAATCTTTCACACTGGAGTAATGGTTTTCAGTGGTTTTGATATGGGACCTGCGTATAACAGGTTACATCTACTGTCACTACTCTGTCTTTTTGTAATTAGATCCTTTAGCAATTATCTGCAGGAATAATCTACATTATCTCCAGCTGTCTTCTAAAGAACAGGAGCTCAGACCTGGCAGGCTGTTCCTCAAGGGGCTCAACTCTAACCTGTTCTTTGTCAGTTTTTTCTGACACATATTTAAAAAAATGCAATAAAGTCAGGTCACTTTTTCCTCCTAATTATATAGCTGTCAATATATGTTTGTCCCAGCTCACTTCTGAGTATAAATTAGCTCTTCTGAAGTGACACAAGTTGCGTTTGTACATCACCTGGCACAGCTCACTTCTGATCCTGGCTGAGCAGGGAATGCTCTTGTAAAACAAACAGTTCTGAGAGTTTTGTCGTGCCGAGATGAGCTGGGACCACGAAGTGAACAGTAATTCACCGTCTCCTCCTCCTATCTGATTTCTTGCTGGGCAACCTGAGGGCTGGGGTTTTCTTTGACGCTGTTCCAGATGTGTTTGACTCTGTCGATGGGGCCCATCTGGCGCACGTCAGCGTGGCGCTCTGGCAGGGGGGCGAGGGCGGGAGCCCGGCCGTCGCGTCGCCGCTCGCCGCGGTGAGAGTGTCGCATGATCTCAGCGTCGCCGTGGTCGTCAGCGCTTCCCACCATGCCATCTCGGTGGACCTGAACGTGTACTTCAGGTGTGTTTGCAGCAGAATTCCAAGGTGGAAGTTTGGGTACAACCAACGTGAAAAAGGGCCTAATCCTGGTCCTCTAGTAGGTGATGTTATGCCAGCTTTTTGTTTTGAGTTCTGGCTCTCTGTTTCTTGTTCTCTCTTTCTTGTTTAAAGCTAGCCCATTAATATTTTCCCCAATTTATGCTCTGTCACTTCAACAAACAGAAAAACTTTGGATTGCACCTGATGTCTTTTCTCCGAAGGTTTGGGTATGTGCTGTGAATTAGTGCCAGTGGTTCATGGCACCTTTTAGAAATGCCAGAGTGTGGGGTTGTTAAACTGTTCTGATACAGCTTTACTGATCTTGCTGGATAAATTAGGACCAGGTTTTAATTTCGAGGCGGTGTCCACCTCAAAGGAAACAGTATCGAGCTTTCATGACTTACATGGATGCATTTTTGGGGATGTTGTTAATCTGAGAGAAAACTGCTGCTCCGAGAGCTCCCATTTTCTCAAATTTCACTCCTGGAGAAGTTACACATGAAAGAAAAAAAAAATTATTCAATTATCTATGAGGGAGGTGGAATTTAATGTTCATTTCTTTACAGACAGTTCCCTGGGCATTTGCTCTGTAAGAGAGATCCTGAAAATCTTCCGCTGAAGCCTCCTGAAGGACTCGACGAGGATGACCTTGCTAGTTCTGACTACAGCATGGAGCTTTTGTCACTGCCCTTCCGCACAGACAGGTACTCAACAAAAATACTTCCTAAAGCAGGCTGGGTTTTGCCTGCTTTAGGTCACTGAGCAATAAACTACTGATTTTTTTTTTTTTTTAAATTGTAGTCGTGATGGATAAAATCAGCTCATTCTGCTTTAAACTTTTGAACGTGAGGATGACGTTAGGAAGTGGGCCAGGACAAGTTTACATATGTCATTGGACAGCTTCTAAATAGTGACTGCTGTTTAGGGTGTTCCCTTCAGTTTGAACCAGTATTGACAGGTTTTTGTGTTCCAAGCACATTCTAGATGGTTGCGTGTTTAGCGTTGCTGAGTGCGTGCGGGCTTCAAATGATTTTGTGTTCATGTAAAGCATTTTAACTGTGTTGAGACCCTTGGTATTAAAGGTATTAATACTTACAAAATATATTCATCGTAACTTGATGTAAATGTAATAAATAATTCTGGAATTAATGTAATTCTAATTTTTTTTTTTTAATCGATGGGTGGATTTTCTGTGGGGAAAAGAAAATTTTCCCCTAAAAACGCTCAGCTTCATGGACCTTGTCAGCTCATGCAGCTGTGATCATTCAGCTTGGCAGCAAACAGTATTTAAATAGAAATAAACAGGACACGTTAGGGTTAAAATGCAAGATGCTGGATGGAATCTGTAAGCTTAAAATGTGGGTTTTTTTGACCGAGGAAACTTTAAAAATCGGTTTACCTGCATTGTTCTGTGCATAATACCTGGTATTATAAGTAGCTTTGTTCTTCACCCCAGGTCCTGGAAGGCACACCTGTCCTCCCTGTGCGATAGGGTAAGGAGAAGACGACCAGGTTCTTCAGATTTGGTGAATGACTTCGATTTACCTTGGTATCAGTTTTTTACTCATCTTGAAGGTCATGATCCTGAAATCTATGAAAATGCTGAGAAGATGGTGGTATTTGTTCCACGAACTGTTACGTGGGCCCCTTCCAAACCGTCACAGAGCGACGGTACAAACCCCCGTGGTGCCAGGCAGCAGTGGAAGCAAATCCCTGGGGAAGCACCAGGAGAAGTGGTGAAAGTGGAGTGTAAGCTGGTGACTGGAGTGAAAGCAGTGTTTGTGGTGTCAACAGCCGACCGAGGATTGACTCTCGTGCTCTGGGATTTTGAGTCACAAGATGTGACGTGTCACCACTTTGGCCCAAACAGTGTTTATGTGGATTGCAGTGAAGAGGTGCCCTTGTGTCTGCTTCTGACAGGTGAGGGGCTTTTATCTCATTGTTCCGATGCAGGCTTCTGATAAAAGCTTTTTTCCTCTTTTTTTTTTTTTTGTTGCACTCTTCTTTCCTGGCTGCCTGGCTGCTCTTGTCTGGTTTCTGATGCATTCTTGTCGAGGTGAAATCCAAACGGAGCCCTGCAGCTTTGCAGCATTATTTGGGAAGAGAAGCAGCAGATAGAAACGTTGCTATGTAGCAGCTTGCTTATGTATTTTTAATTATGATTTGATTCTTTTTAGAGCGTGGTCTTTCCTTAGTTCTGTTTGGGCTAACTCGAGAAGAGTTTTTGAATAGATTGATGATCTATGGCAGTGCTGGAGTCGTCGATTCCGTTTGTCATCTCAACGGATGGGAACGATGTTCAATTCCACTACATGCGCTGGAGGTAAAAAAAAAAATCTGTTTCGTGTCTTACAGATAACAGAAGTACTTCTTTAACGTGATGCACGCAGTTCAGCAGTGTTAGTGGTGTTTTCAGACACAACCAAGAGTATGCCTCAGTAACCTAGGGACCAAAAGGACTGGTTTAGTTATTAAATCCACCATAAAAAACCCGAGTAACCCAGATGAGTAACCCAAAAGAAGAAATACAGCAACAAAATTAATGCACATTAAAAAAAAAAAGCTTTAAACTAAGCAGTGCTCAAAACTCTCTCTTAACTGGACTCTAAAGCATTTTTGCCAATTTCTGCAGCAGTTTTTGTCCTCTTCCAAAATGTTGAATATTAAAATTCTTGTAACTAGATTTTTGTTTTTAACATACCACTCTTGTAAAGCTGAGAGGAGAACTTAGAGGTTACCAAACGTTGCTAGGTATCCCTTAACAGTAGGTGATAAAACATTTTTAATGTGCCAGACCACAAAACGAATCTCCTTGTGTCTCTGCAGCTTTCCAGTGCTCTAGTTCTACTTTTAGATGACATAGATCCTTCTTTAAAAACAAATATTGTTCCAGAAGCGTGGGACTCTGCCACAGGCTTCCCACACCATCGCTCAGTTCGCTGCCAGCCTGCGCTTGGTCGTGTTTGGAGGGAGGGCACTTAGGTGAAGATGTTTGGTCGGGTTCTTCTGGTTTTATTTGAGGGCTGTGATGGAAAGCGAGTTGATTTTCCTTACTGTAAGCTTATTCAAAGTCCTGGTTCTCACAGTACTTATTTTAAATCCCACAGTAGATTTAAAATCTCACAGTACTTATTTTAAATTAAAAAATTGAACTCTAGTAAATTGCTGAATTAATGTTTTGTCTCTGAAGATACGAGGCAAGGTTTCTGCAAAGCCGATTGAAGGAGCATAGCAGGTACTGAACAGGTCTCCTTGTTATTTCAGGCTGCAGGTGTTGCACACACAGTTTAAATTTCTTCTTTTTTTTTTTTGTGCATGCATACCTTGGCGCTGAGTACAACGTGCAAATACTAGCAGTAAGCATACAATATATATATTTTAGAACATGTGCATCATTGTTCTACTCCATATTTGCCTAGGCTGGTTTGGAAAATCGTCAACTGGACACAGTAGACTTATTTTTAAAAAGCAAAGAAAGTCTTTTCAATCTGTCTGCCCCCCACTCTGGACTTGAACAGTCTCCTGATAGTGCATCCCAGTTGTACCTGAAAAGTAAGTAAAATACTTTCAGAGGTTTGCATTTAATTGCCTTTCTGTTTATGGGCAGGTGTTTGTAAAAGCAGGTTGAATTGCCTGTGCTTCGTGTGTTTGGAGGTGCTGTATGGCAAGTTCTCTGCCTCTGGAAAGAGAGAGAAGTGGTGCAGGAGGTGTGGGCTTCTTGGCTGTGTGCTGACATTGGCATATGTATGATAAGCATTTTGATAGGAAGGCAAAGCATGTGACATATATTGTTTGACACATTTTAGAAGATTTTTGTAGCGTAGCTTTATGATTTTAACTTAAATTTTAAATTTATGTGATCAGTCATATGGTAGAATGCAGATGTTCTAACTTTTTATGTAAACATTGCAGATTTGGAAGAGCTGAGGTCAGCTTTAAACTTGCTCTGCTCAGCTATCAAAGAAAGTGATATGGAGCCTCACAGTAAACACTTTTCTGAGCAGCTGCTAAACCTGACGTTGACTTTCCTTAGCAAGCAACTCGAAGACATTTTTGTGCACACAGAGAGTAAGATTCCTCATTTTGTATCATACGTCGTAATGTAATGTGTCATTGTTTAGATGAGTACGAACTACTAATTTTTTTAAATAAGAGCCTAAATTTGCTTAGAATTAACAACAAATTTGTGCTAGAGTGAAGTGAATGGAAGATGTTGTTTAAGGGGAAGGACGAGACATAAATTGGAGTACAGTACCTGTGTTAGCTCAAACTATGATCAGGCTCTCAGATCACAGAGGATACTGCCAACAGGATCGTTTGGGATGCATAAGAATAGCAGAATGGGACTTTCAGGCTCTTGCTGAATACTTGCTGGTAGTGCAGTTAAATGCCTTGAGTTTAGCTCTCAGCTGCTAATTCTTTTCTCAGTGCTGCCGTTTGAAGTATTCTGGCACAAGTATTTCTGTGGCTGTGGAATGGAATAGACTAAGAAGCTGATAGAGCTGAAAAAATAGCCTACCAGGTTATTTTTTATCTGGAGCATTTCCCAGTTCCATTTACAGTGTGGCAACACAGTCCCACATCCCAGTATAACACGAGGGGTGGCACAGAAGCAAGAAGCAGAGGGTGATGAGGCTTGCAGGCTGGATGTGGCAGTGCATGACCGCTTATGCTGGCACATGTTGCTCTTTGAACTGCAGCCTAAAAGGTACAAGAACAGAGTAACAGCTGGTAGACAAGCGAAATATTAAAATCCTAGAATTCCAGAGGACAGTTTTGTTTTGCTGGAGAAAGCTATGGGGAGTGGGGTGGCATGTCCCAGCACACAGTGTGCTGTCCTGCTCCTTGGGGCTGGCTTGCTGGCTCAGTGATGCTTTTTAGTCCGGGGACGAACAGGTTGTACATGTTCAAGTGGAACTGATTCCTTCCAAGAGTAAAAGGTGCAGACTGCTAACTCTGATTCTTAATAACTTTTTTCTGCATGGTTTTTAGTAGTCTTTGTGCTTTACTACATGAATGTTATGCTTAGATGTCCCTGCACTTTAAATTAAATTTAATCTGACTAATAACTGATTGGATCAATAAAAAATCTCTGCTCTTAGTTACTTGTCCCTGAAGGGGACAACACATCAGTGAGGCCAGGGAGATCTGTCGGGAGCACTGGGAGGACTGGGACTGTGTCCTGACAATGCACTGATAGTGGTGGGCAGTGTTAGCACCTGTACAGGTCAGATAGCAGTACAGAGCTGACGTGCTCTTTCCTCTGAGGTGTGTTCTCCTTACGAGTCAGGAAAAGGCATTCCACATCACCCAGCCTTAAAAATGCTGAGTTGTTGAGTTCTGCTTAACTGGTATCTTGAATGCTCTTGACAGAACCTGATGTATTCCTGCAGAAGGGTGCAGATATTTTAACTGATTACATTATTAAACTCAGAAAATTTCTGAGAAAATACCCTCGACCAGAAGTAAATACTGCACACACAGGAAGTGATCTCGATGAAGACCTACCTGTGTTAGAAGAAAGCCACATGTGGGAAAAACTGACACCAGAGGTAAAAATGAGTAATCAAGTTTTAATATCACTTGTATATAAGGAAATTATTAATATGGAAATGTCTTTAAACTATTGGGGAAAAATCAATGTAAGGATCATACAGATAGGAACACTGAAAATTAATGGGATCAGTTTGTTCCAGATTTTTTTCCCCTTTCAGGAAGTCATTGCAGACGCCATCTTAAGCAACAAAATGCCAGAGGCCCAGACCTTCTTCCGAATGCATCAGTTGCTGAAAGACTTCCAGAATTTATTCGGAGAGGTTTGGGTCTGGTCTATGACCGTCTTCTGAAGGACAACACCAGAGAGGCCTCGGAACTGCTACGAAACATGGTGAGAGGTGTTCAGTAAGCATGCTGGTAGCTCTCACACTCTTTATGACTAACGAAATTAAGGAATGCTAAGGGTATGGGGAGCGATCAGGTGTCTTGTGGATGTATGGATTCTCCCACAGACTTGAATTACGATGAAAATTAACTCGTTTTAAAAATAACGTGCCTTCGGAGTGCTGAGGGGGTCTGTTTGTGAATGTGTATTGATGGCTGTCGTGACCAGCGAAGTGCAGAGGTGATTCTGGCGAGCCGGGTGGGAAAGGGTGCCCGTTCTGCATCCAGACACGACACGAGACATCGAGACATCGGCACGTCACTGGGCTGTTGTGACATCTCTAGTTACTGGTGAAGCAACCATCACAAGTGTGGTTGGAAAAGGTTGTGTGCTTTGGGAGGAGAGAAGGTGCATTTGTTCTGCCAGTGTACACCTGCATTCCTACAGTTTGCATTCAGTTAGTATCTTCTTTCTTGTTAGGGCTTCGATGTGAAGGAGGAGTTGCGTAAGATATGTTTCTACACCGTTGATAAACACGTACGAGATTTGTTGGTAAGTGTGGAAAAGGCTTTTTGTGTCCAGCTGATGTTCTCGGGTCTGATGTGTGTTTACGCTGAGAGAAAGTACTGTGTTGAACACACTTTCAGAACGGGAGCAAACGGGCTTTGTCCCTCCATCCTCACAGTGTGGGTGCTGAAACATGGCACTGACGTGCCTGTGTAGAAAGTACTGTGTTGAACACACTTTCAGAACAGGAGCAAACGGGCTTGTCCCTCCATCCTCACAGTGTGGGCACTGAAACATGGCACTGACGTGCCTGTGCTCTTCTGTGTTTGCAGTTGAAGTGAAAAATGGGCTGAAATGTCGTTTGTTTGTTTGTTCTGGCTGGGATCTGGTTCTCATCTGCGTGCAGGCAGGGTGATGTTCTGACCCTTTTGATGTTTAAGTGTATTGACCTCAATGCTTCCAGTTTTTCCCTACAGTTGGTTAAGTCGTTACACTTGCAGGATCATTTAAAACTTAAATATATTGTAAGTGGATAAAAATGGTAATTGGAGGTAATACTTTAATTTGAATTAAAGGTGAAAGTTTTACGAGAAGAAAATTATTTTTCTGAAAGAGAGAAGAAAATGATAGACTTTGTGCATCAGGTTGAAAGCTTTTACTCGGAATCCTTCCAAGAAAATAAAGAGATTCAATCTCTTTCCAGGTAATGTGGGTTATCAGTTTTCATTAATAATTAATAACGTTAATAGGATTTAAAATATGCTGGCTTCTACATTCCGTATGATTTACTGCACTAACAAATACAGTCTTCTGTAATGTCATTAATTTCACACCGTTCTTCATTTGCAGAAATGAGGTTCAGTGTGGGAACTGATTACTTTTCTCATTAACATGACAATTGCCGTCGTATTCTTTCCAGACTAGGTCACAATGTGCTATTGTCAGTGTAACAGAGGTCTTCTGTGCGTATCATCACCACAAAGGAAGTATTTTCAATAGCCAGGGATATTATTAGAATTATTAATCAAATGAAATGTGTTCAGATGAAATGTTTGCTCTATTTTTCATACATGGTGTCCATAATATAGCAAACTATAAGTAACCTAGAAAAATAATTTTATGGTTAAATAATTGTAAGAATGTTACGACACTTATCATCTGCTGTGTCAGATTTGGAAAAATGAGTTAATTCTTTGCCCGTTGCTCTCATATGCACTCTCCAACTTTTAGCTGAGTAAGTCCCTCTGCCACTTCCAGAACCTTCTTCAAAACGGACTAGAAAAATTTGGTGATCCTTTCCTCTGCTATTTGTTAGATTGTGAACTGTTTTTTAAGAGAGCACTGAAAATGTCCTAATGCAGCACTTCCTTACAGTTTCATGAACTGGAGAAAGGAGCAAGACTTTTCCAGACACACAGCTGTTCTAGACTCGCTGTTGGATCGCGATAGACATCGGGTTCACAATAGGAGAGTCAGAGTGATGTTTAACTGGGCTCAGTGGTGGGATGAGCATATTCAGGAAACGATTCTTCTCCCCAGAAAACCACGCCAAGGCAAGTGTTCTGGTACTAAGGACTTCAAAGAAATTGTGAATTAAAAATCCACCTGTGACGTAGCATATTGCAATTGTGTACGAGTGGCATTGATGTAACTGAAGTTGTGTGCTGCCACAGTAGGTCACTTGTTTTTTGTCAGCGAAAAATGGGTAAACAATGTGTTTCATCCTGTTGTCTTCTGACAGGGATGTGTGTTTTTCCTGTAGAGAAAAATTTGCAACTAAGCTGAAAGGGACTCATCTAATGAATGGCCACTTGTGAATGTCGTGCTCTGCTGTGCTCTGCAAAGCTCATTACACTGTAGTATTATATTTAGCTTTTCCAACATAAAGCTCTAGCAGGCTGTAAGAATGTAATCTCAGCGTCATATTTGCAGCCATCCATTAAAAACATGTACATGTGGAAAGAAATGTCAGTGTTTCCCTGAGTGGTGTGTGTTTGTGTGGGTTTCATCGTTGGCTTTTTTAAACGCAGAACTCAAGACGTGTAATCCTGAGGTTCTTTGGATGCACTTGACAGCCCAGCATGATTGGCTCAGTATTTATTCATGGATTGAGGAATTTGAGCCCAACCGGACTTCGTGCGGACGAGCTCACTGGCCTCCTCTTACTGCAGACATCATTGACAGGAGCACGTTGTGTAGTGGCTACATGAGAAATGATATCTTAAACAAGCTGGCTGGGTATGTGCCCTCAGTGCCTTATACTCACTGTCTGGCTTCTGTGAAGCAAAAATTGCATAGTTAGAGAAGTGCACCTTAGTAAAATCTTTGATACAAATTGATTTTTGTAGTATATTTAGTGCCCTTTTTTGAAACAGCACAAATTCGTTAAGAAATTTAATTTTAGTCTTGTACTTGCACTTTCCGAGTAAGAAACAGAGCAACAGAAATCCCCTCTCAGCCCTGCGATCTTATTTGTAACCATTATATTCCCGATGCCCATTTTAATGAAAGGGAGAACATCCTGAACGCTCCTCACGCCTTGTTCCTGCACTGAGCTGCAGTAACTAAGATACTGTTTGAGCACTGTCAGATGAATTTTGGCATGTCGTGTTTGCCTGGGTAGTGAAGTAATCCCCTGGCAGGAAAGGTCTGCTTTGTCATTTCCAACCAAACCCATCCCTCACAGCTTCTTAAAGATGCAGCTGTCTGATCAGTGTGCATGCTTTTTCTCTTTTCTGATAGAAAGGGAATTTTTGTCCCTTCCGAGTTGGAAGATTTTGAACTTCTGCTCCAAAGACTGTCTTACCTTGGGGGAGTTCTGCAAAATCCTCACCCTGTTCCGAAATACAGTGCTGCAGGTGGTCTGGACTTCCACGCTCGTTTCGTCCTTCACTGTTTGGAACATAATTTGCAGTATCTCTTATACACTTACTTAGACTATTACAGGTAGGAACGCTTTTCTTCCCTCAAATCTCATGCAGATTTGAATAATTAAACACAATTTTAGTAGTTTTGATAGTAACAGCTTTCCTCAGCCCTTACTGCTTGGCGAGAAGTACTGCTTGGGTCGCAGCAGTGTCATTTAATGAAAAATCGTGGGGCAGCGTGGTAGGTTTCATGCTGTATTTTGAAGCTTTATTCGGGTTGTCTTGTCAAGATTAATTTGTGATACAGTCATCAAAGGAAACAACTATAGTTGTAATTAGTATAATCTTATAAGCAATGCAATCTTAAGTCTGCCAAAGCAACTTGTGTTGCAGAAGCTCTCTGAGATAAGCACAAATATCAGTTCCTTCTTGATACATTTGCAAGTAAAGAAATTGCTGGTTTCCATCTAAATTAGGATTGGTTGGGATTTAAGGGAAAAATAAATATTAGATATTGGAACCATACGGATACTTTCCACTTAATGAATGCTTTGTTGTTAAAATGTCTTAGCTGTAACAGTGGAATTGTTAAGAAGGTAAAAGTGGACCAGAGAAAAGCCAACAAATGTGGGTTTTTGTTTGTTTGTTTGGTTGGTTGTTTTTTTGTGGTTTTTTTTTTGTTTATATATAATCAGTTATAGTTTATGTAAAGTATTTAGACTTTGCAGAGTGGTATTTGTGAATCAGGTCCCTTCTTTGGAAGACGTTTGGGGTTGGCGGATGGGGAAACTATGACTTTGGTTTATGGAAGGGAGCACAGAAACACATCCCTCAAGAAGGGCCGGGTCAGAGACGCCGTGTCAGCTAACGTGGTGCCTCCTGGAGAGAGTTATGTCTTTTGACTCCTTCCTCAGAATGGATGAGATAAGTCACTGCAGCAGCGAGTCAGAGGCTCTTAGTTTTTATTGCGGCGTTATATTTGAGCAGAGGGTGGTTACAAATACTGTAATTTCACTGTGCTGCTGCTCATCTTATTCCCAGTTTGTCGGCTTCCAACTGCCCCATTTTGGATGACAAGGAGTTGCACGAAGCGCATCCCTGGTTTGAATTTCTCCTGCAGTGCCGGGGGGTTGCCAGTGACCCACGAGGTAGGAGCCTCCCCGGAGGGG